TTTAGCTTTTGTTGTGTTTTTCTTTATATTTGTAAGATAACTTTCTGTAGGTCTTAATTATTCTTTTCAAACATTTGCATCTTATGTTTTTCTAAGCAGCTCCAGGACTGTTTGCGTGTGTGTGTGTGTGTGTGTGTACACATTAGCACTAAAGATGGCTGAAGAAAGATAAGGGGAAGGGCTTGGAGCCTTTTTCTTCTGCTCTTTCATGAATTTTACCACTAGATGTTGGTAGCGAACTAGGGAGTTATCTAATCTAATAAAAGAGAAACATGCAAATTTACCGTACCTTCACTACTCCCCCAAGCCACACCCATCAGCCAATCAGAGCGACTATATGCAAATAAACCAACCAAGATGGCGTCCAGCAGCCACGGAGCTGATGCAAGCAGGAGGCTTGGTTGCCCTGGTGATGGAGGAAGCCAAGCTTTCCACCTGCCCTGGCCGGCTGTGGCCTCCACTAAAGGCAACAAAGTTTCAATTACAGAAGATAAATAAATCCCAGATACCTGCTTCCAGCCAGCCTCCACTGGGAGCTTGGGTGGCTGGGGGCTGTGGCCAGCCTGCAAACAGCCATCAGCCCCTCACCCAGGCTGGCCAGGCACCCCAGCAGGACCCCCCTCCCTGAAGGGGGTGTGGCCAACCTGAAAACAGCCCTCAGCCCCTCACCCAGGCTGGCAGGCAATCCAGCAGGGACCCCCCCCACCCTGAAGCGGGTATAGCCAGTCTGAAAATGGCCCTCAAGCCCTTCACCCAGGCTGGCCAGGCACTCCAGTGGGACCTCCACCCTGATCCGGGACACCCTTCAGGGCAAACCAGCCAGCCCCCACCCATGCACCAGGCATATAATTAAAGGGTAATATGCAAATTGACCCTAACAGCAGAACGACTGGGAATGACTGGTCACTGTGACACACACTGACCACCAGCGGGCAGACACTCAATGCAGGAGCTGCCCCCTGGTGTTCAGTGCACTCCCACAGGGGGAGCTCTGCTCAGCCACAAGCCAGGCTGACGGCTGCCAGCACAGAAATGGTGGGAGCCTCTCCCGCCTCCTCAGCAGCGCTAAGGATGTCCGACTGCAGCTTAGGCCTAGTCCCCGCTGGCAAGTGGACATTCCTCCAAGGGCTCCTGGGCTGCCAGAGGGGTGTCTGACTGCCAGCTTAGGCCCAATCCCCCCAGGGAGCGGGCCTAAGCCAGCAGGTGGACATCCCCCAAGGGGTCCCAGACTGCGAGAGGGCACAGGCCGGGCTAAGGGACCCCCCTGAGTGCACAAATTTTTGTGCACCGGGCCTCCAGTGTTAAATAAGTCTGCATCTATGAAATGCTTGCATTCCGTTGAAATGTGAAAATGTTTGACCTTAAGAAATATTTACTTTTAGAATTCACTTAGGGATATCAAAGATTATTTTAAGTATCATGTTGAGCACAGTGTATTTTTTTTTTACATGGTAAACGCCTAATAAGTATTTATTAACTGTCTTCTTGTATTTATTCTGGGAAAAATATTTATAAAATTTAAGGGACCCCAAAGTTTATTTTGTCTTTGTTTTCTTAATTTTTTGCCCCTAACATATCACATTTCTTTATTTTTTCCTGGTATATCACATTTCCCCACGGCTATCATAAAATTTCTTTATGTTTAGGCTGTAGACTCTTGTGCACACATGTGTGCACCTGCACACACACAATTTTGCTTTAGCTGTTTAATCTAAGTTTGTGAATTTTCCTAGTTAGCATTCCCTTAAAGTTGTGGTTGAGGAAAACTACTGGTGTACTGTTTGGAAATGAGAATAGAATGGTGTGAATAGGATAATGAATACAGAGAGTAAGACATACACCAAAATATTTTCTACATATCAGTTTCATTGAATGTGAGTTTTAGAAAGAACAGAAACATTTTCTTTTTTGAAGTTGACTGAATATGTTTCTCAAGGGCATAAAGGAAGAACAACTATGTTATTTATTACTTTTTGAGAGGATCCTGAAATACTGAATATTATTCAAAAACTCCATGTAAGAAATCTTAGATTTCTGGTTATTTCCAAATTAGCAATTGATTTAAAAATTTTCAGTACTAATGTATTTTGTACTAGCTTCTAACATGAGCAAATATTTAATATTTCTATTGATAATGTTTTACTCATGTAAATAATTTATTCTTGGTTGACCAGGATAAATAACTTTTGTGACCAGAGTATGGGCCTTGATGTGAAACATAAGCAGTATGAATTTGATGGTTTTTGTAACACAATTTATTTTTAATGGAGATAGTATTATAAGATGTCCCATTAATAGAATAATGTAATCCTATATAGTAAAACTTTAATATGCAAATTGACCAAACAGCAGAAGGACCAGCGGAACAACCAGTTGCTATGACGCACACTGACCACCAGGGGGCAGACGCTCAATGCAGGAGCTGCCCCTGGTCTGGGGCAGCTCCTGCATTGAGCGTCTGCCTTCCCCCCCTCCCCCTGAAGAGGGAGGCGACTGATGGCATTGATGGGGGGAGGAGGACAGGGCTGGCCACAGCAGTGATGGGGGGGCAGAGGGGGGCGGAGCGGCTCCAGGCCACCAGCCAAGGCAGGTGCCAGTGGGGCCTGCTGGTCGCCCCACAGATGGGCCTGATGGCAAGCCAGGCCTAGGGACCCTACCCTATATATTGGGAACAGTCTCTTAGATTTAAAAATTAAAACCTGGCAAAGCTACTCTAACACTGAAAAAACAGGATGATTCAGCGATGACATGCTTGAACTCTGGTTTGCAGATTCTGACACTTTATAACTGTGTGACAAAGCCAATTAACTTCTCTCTGCTTCAGTTTTTCCACCCATAAGATGGGGAAAATGGTACTACTGCCTCAGAAGGATGTTATGTACTACTTTTTATAATCAGGGCAAAAAAATGTGGCTCCCCATACAACAGCAAGATGCCTTCCACCTGTATGAAAAAAAAGTATGGTCACTGGTGCATGCAGCATCCTGGATTGTGAGAGGGATGTCCGACTACTGATTAAGGCCTGACATCCCCTGAAGGGTCCCAGATTGCCAAAGGACGCAGGCCAGGCTGAGGGACCCCCCCCCCCCCGCCTTTCCTGGGGAAGAATTTCGTGCACCGGGCCTCTGGTTTCAGAGAATAAAATCAGTATAACATTAACTGTGCCCACTATACAGTGTTCCAGTTATAGAATCATTAAAATACAATTGAAATATTTTAAAGACCTCAGAGTTGAGGTCTGGGGTAGAGATGTGTTTGGTAAATTCCATAGTGCTAAATGGAGCCCTTTGATGCTATTAAAGAGGGTAGAGTCTTAATTATGGGGTTCTAAGTGATCATGCATTTGTATGTCATATATACACACATACATACTCACATAGTGAAGAGGGTAATACCATTTTTGAGGTATTTGACTGGGACCTGTGATGTAGTGGAAAGAAACAGGGAATGGAGGGATAGGATGTTATGCTCAGGGTATTTTTCCAGCCTCAATACTGCTCCCTTCACTTCTTCACTTTATATAGGTTACCTGCCATTCATCCTCAGTAATATGGGGAAGGCTGAGAAAATAATTAGCCTTTCAAACTTTTTTTCACATTAGCTGGTGTAGAGCATGGCAGTCTTAACCTAGCTAGTGGCACACAATTGGGGGAGGGAAGTGGCTATTCAAATAACCAACTGAGGTGAATATATTCGCATATTGAAGTGCCCCTGGAATTCATGGAATTAGAATCTTGATGGAGAGATGGATACTTGGATAGAGATTCTCAGATAATTCTTTTAACTCCTTCACTACCAATCCCTTTGCCAAACCTGACTCACCTTCTGGACAATTAGCAGTCCCCGAATTCTGTTCTTGTACCTTCTGAGGGTTGTCATTGTTCAGCCAAGTTATTCTTGTTCCCTCTTTTGCGCACCTTAGGTTTTGTTTTTTTATAATTTTGCAGATAGTTTAAAAGAGTTTAAATAAAGTATTGTTCTTTCATATACGGGTGTGTGTTTTATCTCTGTTCACTATAATGTCCTCTTTTGTCAGCAAATGTGCCGTCACTACCCCGCCTCCCTTCATGCTTCCCCAGCTCCTCCTCAGCTTTAGCAACAAATCAGGCACTTGAGCAATACTCGAGCAGCTGGACGCTTTGGAGTGAAGGCTCAAGGATTTTTCTTAAGGGGAAAATATTGTAAGATTTAGAGGGTTGTTTATACTTTTTGTGCTTGATTTATTGAACTCTATTTTTCAACCAAAGGTTATCTTTTTAAATGAATGATATCATTATTAAAGCTTAAAAAGAAGAGTATTTCACTAATAATTTTCTAAAAATTGGCTTTTGATAAACTACATATACTCAATTATCAGCCAAGCTTCCATATTCTCTTCTCTACCCTCAGCACAAGTATTTAAATGCAGAATAGGTACGTAATAATAACAAAGTTCAGTGTTTCACCCTTACATTCAGCCACACTTTTCTTTCTATAAAATAGCCTAATTTTAAAATCAGTTAATTGAATTCAATCTTTCAAATAGATTACTTAAACAATGTCATCAAACCTCCTCCCAACTACCCCCACACTACACAAGTTTTAAAAACATGCATATGACACTGATAAACACAGCAAAAGGGTGATGGCCAAAGGTCCTACTTATTCAGAGAAGGAATCAATATTTACTGTTATATAAATGAATTGTATTGAAAACAGCATTTTCTTTCCCGAATCAAACTTCAGGGCTAGGTGGAGTTATCTTCCCTACTTTCTGTTCGCCCCAAAGTGACTGCAGAGCAGCAAGGTGTCCAGGGGATGTCGCTGTGCCCTCACATTGCTGCAGCTCTCTGCCTCTGCCCCTTCAGCTCTGTCGTGAACCCTGCCTGTCAGCCTTGCACTACCTCTTTATTACCTCACCTTTTGGTCTGCCTTAATGTTTTTTGTAGTTTCAAATTATACCCAGATTTCATACCATTTTAGTTTTCTGTTTATCCATATTTTGATGGTCTGAAGCAAGGTTAATCAAAAGAAACATTTATTTGCAATTTGTACATATCGACTTCAACATACAAGGGGAGGTCTCCTAGCCTTTAACTCCTACACATCAGTATAGTCATAATATATGCGGACTTCTGATCTTCTGACACTTTGCAGTGACCTGATGCTTTCGCTCCTGGTTCTGATATTTGATTTCTTGAATAACCTTCTTGAAAATGACCTACACATGAAAAAGTAAATTATTGGGTCCAGGCACACATTGCACGCAGACAAGAAAAGTGTCAGTTCTCTGCAGTAATGCAGGATTTTGTGTGCATATTCATCTAAATGTCTGTCTAAGTCACTAAAAGTAAAAGGAATTCTGCACAAGTGATATGGTAGAAAACAGGTGAAAAACACAGCCACCACCACCCTAATGCTTTGGTTATGTTTCCGCTTCCGGCTTGACTGGCTGACGAACTGCCTGCTGGACTTGTGGATGTACCGGGATATGGCTATGTAACACCCAATCAGGATCACCAGCACAGCCACAAATAAGCAGCTTTTGAGGTAAATGACTACATTATGCCATCGGACTCCCAAGGGACTCTTAAGTTTCATGCATTCATGAATATTTTCTTTAGTTGGTTGAACATCTGTTAGGATGATGTTTGGCAAGGCCAAAATAGCCATGATCACCCAAACACAAATGGATAAAACCTTCGTAAAGGTTATGCTGTACATGCGAGAGTCCCCAAATGGCTTTACCACCTTCAGATAGCGATCAATGCTGATCAGCCCAAGAAACACGATGGAAGTATACATGTTTGCATAATATAAAACTGAGGTGTATCTGCAGAGGATGGCCTTGAAGTACCACGGTCCCAATCCTATATCATGGACTATTCGAAATGGAAATGTCAGTGTCATTATGAGGTCAGCAACTACTATGTTTTTGAGATAAAATATGAAGCTGGTTTTATTCCTAATGTGGAAGAAGATCCACACTGCTAGACCATTCAGCAAGAGGCTTGCCACGAATACAACGAGGTAAAGCACAGGCATGATGATGGTGTCGAACTCGTTGTTAAGGGTGGTATTCCTTCCGAGGCCATCGCTGGCATTACTTGGAACGTGGCTCCCTTGGCTGAGCAGCTCGGTATCTGCGGGAGAAGCGGATATGTCACTGTAGTGCTGCACAGCATGCTCATAGCTGCCTGGCCTCCCTCACAGCAGACCGCTGCCATTTGGGGAGACTTTGAAAATGTCTTTAGTGATGTAAAGTGTCAGTTTAGTGAATTGTTGAAATTTTGAGTGACTAAAGAATTATTAGCCTCATCCCTCTATCTGCCCCCCGCCCCATTGTCCCGTAAGTAAAATGTGATATTTCTGGTTCTCTGTGCTGTTTGAAAATGAAAATAAATAATATTAATGAAAATTATCATGAATTTTAAATCAGTGTTTGGTATCATTACAAATAGATTCAACACAATCTGAGGGCAGAAAATTGAAATTTCATATAATAAGGAAATAAAATAGCACATGGTTTTTCTTTTAATGTGGTCTTTGGCATGATCTGAACTATCATTTCCTCTTTATCATTTTTAAGTTTTGTGGGTTTTTAAATAAGTTTGACTTTATAAAAATTTTTATTTACTAATTTTAGATGGAGAGAGATGGGCGGGGGTGAGGGAGAGAGAAAGAGAGACAGTGATTTTGTTGCTGCACCCATTCATGCATTCATTGTGTGCCTCCTGCATGTGTCCTGACTGGGGATCAGGATGATGCTTCAACCACCTGAGCTACCTGATCAGGGCCAGTTTTGAGTTGTTTAATTGTCAAGAGAAAAAGTAAAGCTAGTGGGTCATTTTGATTTTTTTTGCTAATGACTTTTTTATAGTACTTAAGCTTTAGGGACTGTTTTTAGGAATAGAAGCAATTGTTTTTAATGTTTTAGTTTAATATCAAGGAGAACAACTTGTTAAAAATAGGTGTAGGCCAAACTGATGATTGCCAGATGGGAGGAAGGTTGGTGGGTGGGAGGGCAAGTGAAGGGATTGTTGGCATTGCTCAGTGGTTAGAGTGTCAGCCGGTGCATGGGAGGATCTTGGGGTAGATTCTAGATCAAGGGCAGGTACCTGGGTTTGCAGGCTTGATCCCTGACCCCTATCCAGGTGCGTGTGGGAGGCAACCAATCAGTGTGTCCCATATCAATGTTTCTCTCTATCTCTCCCTTCCTCCCTTGCACTTTCTTAAAAAAAAGGAAGAAGTACAAATTGGTAGTTATAGACTAGTCACAGAGATGTAAAGTACAGCATAGAGAATATAGCCAATAATATTGTAGTACTAGACTTATTGGGGGGGGGTTCACTTTATATGTTCTATAAATGTCTAACCACTATGCTGTGCACCTGAAACTAAAATAACATTGAATGCCAACAATAATTGAAAAATTAAAAAATGGTTATAGGCTGGTACCTATATGTATTTATAAGATTTTACCTATTGCACTTCGATGAAATCTTTAAACCTTTTACTTTTGGTGGGTTTTTAGTTTTCAGTTCATGTGTGAAAAACCCATACTATACCATCTGTCACATAAATCACTGAAATGGTTTATCAGCATTAGATTTATGTGACAGCAACGAAAGGAGCCTCTGGGATCTCCTACTACAAAGCGTTTAACTGATGAGCAGCTCTGACCCCATGACGTGTTCTTGCTGATGCCACACTTCCCATGGACTGCCACCACCCCTTGCTGAGCACAGCGAGGGTATGAGGGCAAGCCTGTTCCTGGGACAGGAGGAGCTTCTGACAGTGAGTGGCTGGAGGACTCCGTCCGTCTGGTGAAAACCTTCTCCCACTGCACTGCCGTCTGAGTGCCCCTGCTCCCTGGGGCAGGCGTGCACACAGCCTGCCGTCCCTGCGGCATTTCTCCCAGTAAGACTCTTGGCCATTTGGTTCCACTGTGTCACCTACTCTGTATGAAAACCTTAACTAATACAATTTTATTTTATTAATTTTTATTTTTTGGTTAGTCCTCACCTGAGGATATTTTTTCCATTCAATTTTAGAGAGAGTGGAAGTGGGGGGGGGGGGCAGGGAGAGGGAGAAACATCGATGTGAGAGAGAGACAGCAATTGGTTGCCTCCCGCACGCCCCATTATGACCAAGGCCAGGGATCAAGCCTGTAACTGAGATATGAGCCCTTGACTGCAATCAAACTCCAAACTCTTCAGCCCATGGGCTGACGCTGTCTCCACGGCGCCAAACTGGCTAGGGCCTGAACTAACACAATTTTAAAATGAACTTTTTAGATGTAAAGTTACAAGGAAGGTCATTTCTGTGTTTTTACTTGTCACTAATTTATAATGTTTACCAGTTGTGTTTTGGAGTGGTTTTGTGCTAGAGGTAACTGCATGAACTTGGCCCTCGTTTCCCTACATGAGAGGCACTGTAGTATATATGTTGTTGTTGGTTCCCTTCTTTGAAGAAGTGAAACAGAGAAGGTCTAATGATTATAATTCAAAAACAGGTTCTTAAATTGCTGCCTGAAATTTAAGTGTAGGCTCTTTGTGAGTATTCTTGCCCTCTTTCTAATTCGTTCCCTTTTATTCCCTGCTACAAGTGTTTGTAAAAACAGGTTTTCCTGGCTTAAATATCTTTACACAGGCTCATAATTTATACCTGGACTAGCCTGTGATGACAGTACCCATAAGCTTTATGAGTGCAAATACCTGATTCAGCTGCCATCTGGGTTCCTGTTGCCAGTTTCAGATATTGCCTTGAACAGATCATTGAAACCTGTTTGACATAATGAAGTGTGCCGTCTTGGCGGCTTAAGCACCCCAAGATCCACGTCAGCATTGATGCCTTAGGAGCTCCTTAAGAGGTGCAGTTTCACCTGGGTTAAGATATCTGCTTGAATTAATTTCCCCAATTAAACTAGTAGCAGTCACTTTTGTCTAACCCAGACGAGATCCCTAGGAAAGTGGAGAGGGGATAAGTGGTACAGCTGAGGGGTGCAGCCTGAAAAGGGGCCACTACATCATCTCCTGAAATGGTAGCTATACTTGAAACAATTATTGATGAGTGGTTTTCAAAGTCATTGTAGATCCTAATCGGATGGTACACTAACTGTAGCATACTAGGTATGGCCCAGCTCAGCCCCCAGTGTTTGTGCATTGGGTCCACTCTGCATGTCCAGTGTGGAACGGAAGGACCCGTGCCTCCCTGGTTGGCCAGGGACTGTGTGCATATTCAGTTTATCATCATAGCATTTCAAAGTTTTGATTGTATACACAAGCACTCATATTAAGTGATAATTTACTAATCAATCACGGTGATTATTAAATACAGAGTCTAAAATCAGAATGGTAGAAACAACCCTTCTCTGTACTCCGCCCTGTACATGCAAAGCCCTGCACGAATGACCTGGCTGCACAGTGGTACTGAACTGCCTTGTGGCTCTGAGGCAGCCTCCTGTCCAGCTTGTGGGCTGTGTCCCTCACAGCGTTTGCTTCCTCAGCTTGTGTCTGGGATCAGTGTTTTGGAATATAGGACTTCTGCAGTCTGTCGGGTGGGTTGGGCTTGGTTATTACTTCACTCACAAATTCCACATTTACAGTGCAGCTTAAATTATTAACGTCTGTTACGGGTCCTTTTATGAAATAACTAGAGGCCCGGTGCATGACATTCATGCACTGGGGGGTGTGGGGATCCCTCAGCCTGACCTGCCACCCTCTCCAATCTGGGAGCCCTCAGGGGAGCCCTCTCTAATCCTGGAGTTTCTGTCTGTCTTTGCAATCATGTGAGTGAATTGTCTGAGACCCCAACTCAGTTTGGTTTGTTGCTCACAGAATAATAGAGGCTTTTTTTTTCTTTGCTTCATTGGTGGAGATTTCCTGGAAGTTTCAGGGTAACTTCCCTTTAACCCTTTAACTTTTCCTAGACACTCTGACTTTACTTATGTCTCTCACCTTTGCTTTCCCTCCATCCCCCACCGCAACAGGAGCTTGCTCCAGGCTCACTTTGCTCTAGCAGCAGTTCTCAACCTGTGGGTCACAACCCCTGAAAATACATCCTGCATATCAGATATTTACATTACAATTCATAACAGTAGCAAAATTACAGTTATGAAGTAGCAACGAAAATAATTTTATTGTTGGGGGTTCTGAGAACCGCCACAGTGGTTCTCAACCTTCCTAATGCCATGACCCTTTAATACAGTTCCTCATGTTGTGGTGACCCACAACCATAAAATTATCTTCATTGCTACTTCATAACTGTAATTTTGCTACTGTTATGAATCATAATGTAAATATCTGATATGCAGGATGTATTTTCATTGTTACAATTGAACATAATTAAAGCATAGTAATTAATCACAAAAACAATATGTAATTATATATGTGTTTTCCGATGGTCTTAGGCAACCCCTGTGAAAGGGTCGTTTGACCCCAAAGGGGTCGTGACCCACAGGTTGAGAACCACTGGTCTATGAGATCCGTCTGCTACCAGAACTATGATTCCCAGCATTCCTGGTGCTCCCCACGCTCTGGGCTTCCACTTCCAGTCCTGGGGCTGCCACCAGAACTACTATTCCCAGAATTCCTGGTGCTCCCCACACTCTTGGTTTTCCCTTCCTGCTCTGTCTCAGTCCCATGGCCTCCCACTCTGCCAAGTCCTCCAAGCTGCCAGCTCTCCCTCTCTGCTCTCCGTCTGGCAGCTTAAGGAGCCAAGTTCCCCAAGCCACTCCACTCTCTGCCGGCTCTCCTGCTCTGCTCTCCGCCCAGTGTCTGTGTATGCAAATTAACCCACCATCTTTGTTGGGTTAATTTGCATACTCCTGATTGGCTGGTGAGTGTAGCAGAGGGATGGTCAATTTACATGTTTCTCTTTTTTATTATATAGGATATGCTAATAGGAAGAAAAAACTGGTTCCTAAGGAGCAAGAAAAGCCATGTGTGGGCTGCTCTCGAAAGCTTTAAACTTAATAGAGAGTTTTGTCTCAATTTTGTTTTAGAACTAAATCTGATTAGTCATGATTTTTTTCTGCCAGTTGTACCACCACCATTTCTCCCTTCTGTGTGGGGCCCCCAGGCTCCCTGTCCTACACCATTTCTCCCTTCTGTGTGGGGCCCCCAGGCTCCCTGTCCTACACCATTTCTCCCTTCTGTGTAGGGCCCCCAGGCTCCCTGTCCTACACCATTTCTCCCTTCTGTGTAGGGCCCCCAGACTCCCTGTCCTACACCATTTCTCCCTTCTGTGTGGGGCCCCAGGCTCCCTGACCTACACCATTTCTCCCTTCTGTGTAGGGCCCCCAGACTCCCTGTCCTACACCATTTCTCCCTTCTGTGTAGGGCCCCCAGACTCCCTGTCCTACACCATTTCTCCCTTCTGTGTGGGGCCCCAGGCTCCCTGTCCTACACCATTTCTCCCTTCTGTGTGGGGCCCCAGGCTCCCTGTCCTACACCATTTCTCCCTTCTGTGTAGGGCCCCCAGACTCCCTGTCCTACACCATTTCTCCCTTCTGTGTGGGGCCCCAGGCTCCCTGTCCTACACCATTTCTCCCTTCTGTGTAGGGCCCCCAGACTCCCTGTCCTACACCATTTCTCCCTTCTGTGTGGGGCCCCAGGCTCCCTGTCCTACACCATTTCTCCCTTCTGTGTGGGGCCCCAGGCTCCCTGTCCTACACCATTTCTCCCTTCTGTGTGGGGCCCCAGGCTCCCTGTCCTACACCATTTCTCCCTTCTGTGTGGGGCCCCAGGCTCCCTGTCCTACACCATTTCTCCCTTCTGTGTGGGGCCCCAGGCTCCCTGTCCTACACCATTTCTCCCTTCTGTGTGGGGCCCCAGGCTCCCTGTCCTGCACCATTTCTCCCTTCTGTGTGGGGCCCCAGGCTCCCTGTCCTACACCATTTCTCCCTTCTGTGTGGGGCCCCAGGCTCCCTGTCCTGCACCATTTCTCCCTTCTGTGTGGGGCCCCAGGCTCCCTGTCCTGCACCATTTCTCCCTTCTGTGTGGGGCCCCAGGCTCCCTGTCCTGCACCATTTCTCCCTTCCTTGTGGGGCCCCAGGCCCCCAGGCTTGTGTGTGCTCAGAGGCGTGTCCCCGCACTGCTCCTGCTCAGGAGCAAAGGCGTGGAAAGGAGTGGCTGTCTCACCCAGCCAGTATTACCCCGCCTACTTCACTGTCCATAAAGAATGTGACCAGATAAGGGAACAGTTTTAATGTCAGGTACCTTGAGGATTCAATTAAGAGGGACTAGAAGCCAGTTTTACAGTGAAGGCTATTTTCTCACATGCTTCTTGTTTACTAGGATGTCATTTTCTGTATTACTTAGTGTAGACTTTGATGCAGAGTGATAATTGAGGGTATACATTTCTTTGTTATTTTCTCCCCTGCTCCCCTCCTCCATCTCCTTTTATATTAAATTAACAATGACTTAGGCACTGGAGTTCCATAGTAAATTAGCTTTTGTGCCAGTGTATGTGAGTGTTAATGAGGTATGTGTGTTGGGGTGTGAACTGTGGCTGCCTGTGTTTGCGTGAAAGGGGGTCTGTGTGTATCTGTGTGTGCTGGAGGAAGACATAGGATTTGCTGCAAGATAGAGCATTAACTGCATGCAGCGACTATATCAGATGGTGCAGGTGAAGGGAATTTTCATCATTGAAGAAAGTCCTACTTGGCAATGCTGGTTTAGTCACTTCCTGACTGCAAAATGGCATAGAGATTAATTTTGCTGGACCATCTGAAAGTTCAATAGTCTGCAAACACGTTGTGCACAGTATCTAGTACCTAGGGTTCGCTCTCTAACTCAGGCACTCGTTACAGTCTGTCCCATTAGTGGCAGTCGCATGAGGAATGATAGAAAGAGTGGTGAGGAATCATGGTCCTTTTCTTTTGCTGAAGCTATATTATTGCTCATTGGGGCATGTCAGTCTTGGGACAGAATGTGAAAGCGTCAACAATATGTCACTGCTGCTCTCCTGTCAGGTGGGAATGAAATACTAAAGTCATGCAAATTATAGGGTGTTACTACCAAGGCACAACTGCCCTTGCAAGATCATTTTCTAAATAGTTACCCAGTACAATGGTAGATGTTGCCTTTGGCCTCCTGGATAACCTCAGTGAACCTTGGTTTAGACTTATTACCTCTGCAAAGTAATATGTACTTTAGTTAAGGTATAAAAATCTTCCCCAGATGTTATTAATTTAATCTTTCTTGTCCTTTTCAATGGTCTCTAGGTGAAACACAGGTTAAAGTGAAGGGATAGCTAGTTACGTGTTCCTCAGTATGCCATCCTGCCTGGGTGCTGCTTTATACTTGATGAAGGGCAAGGCTAAATGCAGGCTTATGTTGTTAGTTGGTTCAGTGGCCTATAAAACCCCCAAATTGCGACATAGTATGAATAACAGTTATCGATCAAGTACTTCACAGTTTTCCCTATGGCTTACCTGGTAATTTTGTAAATGTCAGGTTGAACCCCATTCTTTATTTAGGATGGACTGTCAGCAAAAATATGTGTCAGGAAATACTGGGGGATGGTTGAGGCAAGGGTTCTGCATAGGTTATTCCTGGTTTAATTTCTGGCAAAAGAAAATGAAACAGTCGGGAAGGGATTCAAATACACAATATTTTGATCTATACAGTTCAAATCATATATATGTGATTCAGAAAATGTATACTCTTTGGACACGAACACTTTGGCACACAAGAGTTGTCTATTTTTGTGTCCTCTCTCAGCCCGCCATGAAGCATGGACCACTTATTTGTATGTATGCTCTCCATTTGAATGCCTCTGTGCCATGGGAAAGTTCCTCATGGTCTCTTTGCCTCCGTGTCTCCTGTCTGAAATGGCACTGTTAGTGATCACGTGGTAGGACTGCAGTAAGGATTATGTGAGACACTCAGAACCCAGGCCAAGAGTGCACTCAGGACATGTTAATTAGTGTCTCCCCTTTCTTGCCTGCACCTCATGCTCCCCCTCTGACCTGAGCACATATATTTAAGTGCATGTATGATGGGACTTTGTGCAATTGGAGATTTTTAAAAAATACTTTAAAAATCTAACACTGATATATGCAGGAGTGTTCTATAAGCTCAAATGCATGCAGCATCCTGTTCTTGTAATTTCTGGGGTTCTAGTCCTGGCTTTACCTTAACCAGCTGTGTGACATCCATCAAGTCACCTAACATTCCTGGAATCGGACTTTCTGGAATCTGCAAAGCTTTAGAAAATCCCTGTCAGGATTCAAATTTATGTGTTTTCCTCAAACATAGATTCCCATTAAGAATTTATTTATTTATTTATTTGTTAATCCTCACCCAAGGTTATTTTTCTGTTGAGTTTTAGAGAGAGTGGAAAGGATGGGGAGAGACATAGAGAGAGAAACATCGATGTGAGAGAGACACATCAGTTGGTTGCCTCCTGCATGTACCCCTACCACGGCCTGGACCAGGGCCAGGGATCGATCCTGCAACTGAGGTATGTGACCTTAACCAAATTCAAACCCCTGATCCTTCAGTCCGAGTCAAACTGGCTAAAGCAAGAGTTTAATATCATTCGAATGTTTGTCTTATAAATTCTTGTATTTCTTCATGAGAACTATATTTCATCCAAACTCAAACTTTGAATTTGGGCAAATAGCATTTGAATGACTGGACTGTGATTTTGGCTGAATACCTAACTTTTCCAAGCCTTGGATTCCTCACAACATTTTTACAAAGATCTGATGTTGAATACTGTAAAACATTACTGTACCCCACTTCTCCTGCAGCAGCCTTATTTATTCCCTGATTTCTGGCTTCCCTCAGATATTGATCAAAGAGAGAAGTCCTGGGAACTGTTTTGGAAGTGTCCTCCTACAGGGAAATGTGCTTTTGGAAGAGTTTACTTTTAGGGGAAGTCACACTGTTCCTCTGAAATAAAACCACATGAGACTTCCATGTGCCCCTCACTGAGGTTGCTCATATACCACACAGCTGCAAAGGGACCCACGTAAGCTCATCCCTTGCAAGTGCAAAGCAATCTCTGGTTTGTGTGAGCAGTTACGTTTGCTGAGTGACCTGAGAAAGAGCACTTTGGAGGCGAAAGTTTATTTCAGAATTGGGAGCAAGTGGGGAGGCACTTATTTTTTCCCTGTTACTTTGTCTTTCTCTTATTCTGTTTCCTAGAATCACATGAAATTTGGTACTAGACTTTGGATTTGGTAGTAAATGGAAAAAATTGTTTCCAAGTTTTCAGTGACCTCCCCAAATGCCCCAAATTATTTATTTTGAGAGTTTAGATATCCTATCTGTGCCTCACCTTAAATGGCTATTATATGTGGTACATAGCGGGTACTCAAAAGGTATCTTTTGGTTAATGGAACATAGATAATGATTAGGGCTTTTAGAGTCCCTCTAGTTTAGGTACCAGTGTTCTACTATTTTTTTTTTTTAATAAGGAAAGGAGATAAAATCCTATTTTCTTTTTATTTATTAAAGCTTAGTAGGGGGAAGGGGAGGATGGAGGCAATTAATTTTCTAAACTTTTTCATCATAGTCCTTGGGTTTCAGATGAGATTGGGCGCATTCAGGGTGGTATGCTACAGACATGGTCCTTGGATTTCAGTAAATTTTTTCTTGAGTTCAGCTTCTCATGGAAATATTCAAGATGTTTACTGACAAACACTGCTTTAGTTTTATGTTTCTCTGTTCCTGAGTTATGTGGTTTTCCTCCTCTTGGCTTCACTTGTACTTGACAGCAAGGATTCCAGTATGGCATGAGCCCACTAGAAGATAAGGGTGCCCGGAAGTGGGTGAGCCACAAGCAGCAGTAAGAGAGATAAAAGACTGTTAACAGTACAGAGGACATGGAAAAGAGACAGGGAGAAAATATTTGTATATCACATTTCTGATCTTCAGAGTATGCATACAAAGAACTTTCACAACATCCTAATAAGAAAACAACCCAATTTTTAAAATTGTCTAAGATTTATATAGACATTTCATCAAAAAACACATGAAAAGATGGTCAACATCATTAATCATTAGGGAAATTCAAATAAAAGCCACAATGAGATACTATTTTACACCTACTGGAAATGGCTATAAATTAGATAATAACAAGTTTTGCCATGGATATGGAGAAACAGGAACCTCATAAATCACTGGTGGAAATTTAAAATGATATGGCCACTCTGCAATTTGGTATTTTCTTAAAAAGTTAAACCTTGCCCAGATGGTGTGGCTCAGTGGATGAACCAGGAGGTCATGGTTCGATTTCTGGTCAGGGCACATGTCTGGGTTGCGGGCTTAATCCCCAGTAGGGGACATGCAGGAGGCAGTCAATCAATGATTCTCTCTCATAATTTATGTTTCTATATCTTTCTCTCCCTTCCTCTCTCTGAAATCAATAAAAGCATTTTTTTAAAAGTTAAACCTTAATTTGTCATATGACCAAGCAATTTCACTCATATGTACCTACCCAACAGAAAGGAAAATATATGTCTATGAAAAGACTCGTTTACAAATGTTTACAGTAGTATTACTTGTAATAACTAAAAGTGGAATTAACTCAAATGTCAATTGATGAATGGATAAACAAAATGCATTCTAGTCATACATTAGGATACTACTCAGCAATAAAAAGGAATGAAACACCAGCTATAATATGCATGAATCTCAAAAAAATTTTGTAAGGGAAAGAAGCCAGTTCAAAAGGTTATATACCATTTAAGTAGAATGTCCAGAAAAAGCAAATTTATAGAGGTTCAAAGTAGGTTGGCATTTGTAGGAGCTGCAAATGGTAGCGGAGGTTACTGTAAGGTTTTGAAAGATCTTACTTGGGTGATAGAAACTGAGTTATGGGGTGATGGTTTCACAACTCTATAAATTTACTGAAATCATTGAATCATATACTTAAAATGGGTGGATATTATGGTATGTAAACTACCCTACATAATAAAAGGCTAATATGCAAATTGACCCACTGAACAAATGGACAGCCTGTTGCTATGATGTGTACTGCCACCAGGGGGCAGACGCTCAACGCAGGAGCTGCCCCCTGGTGGTCAGTGCGCTCACACAGCAGGGAGCACCGCTCACCCAGAAGCCCTGAGCTGAGCTCACGGCTGGCAAGCGCAGCGGAAGTGGCAGGAGCCTCTCCCACCTCTGCAGCAGCACTAAGGGTGTCCAACTGACGGCTTAGGTCAGACATCCCCCAAGGGCTCCAGGACTGTGAGAGGGGGCAGCCCAGGCTGAGGGATGCCCTTCCTCCCCACCCCCGCCAAGTGCACATATTTTGTGCACCAGGCCTCTAGTAATTCAATAAAGTTAAAAAGGAAAAAAGTGCACAGAAAAGAAAAGGAATAGAAACAGGCTAGCAATTCACTGCAGTAATGGATGAGTCTCAAGACTAGGGGAAAGCATATTATAAGAACACTCCTGTCCTCTGTTGAAGAGGGAATGAAATCCCAACACTACTTAGCAAAAGTTCCACCTCTTCGAATAGGAGAGGGTACTCCGTGGTGATATATAGACTCAAGTTTGTCACATTTCCCTGTCACTCAATGCCATCATTGTCTTACTAGCAGTTTACTGAAACTTATCTTTGGCCACACTCAGCATTTCCACATGTTCCTTTCCCATTGGACCTTCAGAAAACTTGCCACAATCCCGGTATCACAGCAGCCATAGGATCTCCGTGATGCCTGCTTCCCCACATCAGGGTACAGTGCTGTATTTCCACAGCTCCCAAATTTATGAGTTTTTTCTTTTAGAATCGGGTCCAAAATCTGGAGATCCTGGGTATAGGTAATGATTTGTACTTTTGGGGATGTTCCCCTTTTTTTAATTCATGTTGAAATTATGTGGAAGAATTGAGATTTAATCAGTTCAGACATGATATTTGGATTTTCTGGACTTGAATTTTGTAGCCAGATTTGAGAAATTAGCCATTTTATTCTCCCACTGGCTTCTGAGAATTTCCTTCTGCCTTCTCTGTCCCCTTTACTAACTAACTAACTTCCTTGAATGAAATGGTTCCCCAAATTTAGGCCACAGCTCCAGATTATTTCTGTTTTTCAAGAGTGTTCATGTCTGTGTCGATGCTTAGTCAGCACCTCTGTTCCATATCTCTCTCTTCCTTTCCCCAAACTTCAGTCCATTGTGTACATTGGCATGTGCTATATGTCTGTGTTCCTCAAATTCAGCAGTTCTAAACTTTAACCATTTTCCCTTTCTTCAATAGAAACCACTTTTCCTTTTCTCCTTGTTTGTGAATATTTACTTCATCTCTTGGTTGAAAGAATATAAAAACTATACTCTATTGGGCAGTTTTCTCTTCCTTGCTCCTCATCTAGTTAGCCACTTAAATTAGTCTATTTCTTCTGTTACAATACTTCTCCTTTGCTCTGTTCTCACCTTCCTACTCCCACAGCCATCTTCCAGAGTGATACCTTCCTAGTCTCATGTGTTGGCCACTATACTATCCCCCTCTGGTCTTTCTGCTTCTTCCTTCATTCTTTGCAAATCTCTCCTGATTCTTGTTGCTAGATTCTTCTTTCTAAATAACCCATGTAGTACTGCTTTCTTTTGCTCTCTA